GGAGTGTGTGAGAGAGAAACTCCCTCTGGAGGGGACTTTGGGATATCAGGAGTCACTTAGAATACTTGTAAAAATTTGTATTCACGCAAGTTAATTTTAAGTCTCAGATTATCCTTTGTGTGTTTATGATATTGCAATCAGTCGATATAACTATCAAAAATATAAACTCAGAAATCATGTTCATACTGCTCTCATAGTTGCCCCATAATTAGTTTTAGAAAACAAGGACTGCAATATTTTTTAAATTAAGTAGAGATGTAACGTGTAATCTATATCATGTTCTAAAACAGTAAATCATTTAGGTTTAACATAAGAGAAACCCTTTCCATAAAAAAAAGTCTGTATTTAATAATATAATAATAATAATAAAGACATACGGTCGTCTTGCTGTTTTACATTGTAAACGCCATGCTTTTTGAACATGCATAACCATTGTGCCACTGTAACAATTGGATCCTCCGTCAGGGGACTGACTGTATTGATGTGGTGTAAGCCTTCGAGAATAGCTTGAATGAATAAGAAGTGAATTAATATCCATATCGCAGAGATGCATTCACACCGAATCTGCGGGACAGATGATAGCCTTTATCCCTCCACACAGGGAGGACACAGACATGGATGGAGCTTACCAACAATCCAGGACAAAAGGGAGCCTCTGGTGGGAGGGGGGGCGGAGGGAGGATGGGTGAGGAGCTGGTGTTTTGATGAGGACATTGATCTCTAGTTATTGCACTTCGTGGACCGGCCCAGGAGGCACAATGACAACGTGGAGGGGCAAAGTATTATGAAATATTGTCCTAGAAGCCCTCGGCCAAAATGCCAAACACAGCTGGAAATCTTGACATATTATCCAAAGAACACGTGGGAGACACACAGAAGCCTGCCCGGGCTTTCCCAAAGCCGGACTTCAAACTCACAGTTTATTTCCCAAGATGACCGTGTGATTTATTTCAAAGACCAGGAGCTAAAGCTTCTTAGCATCGGTGAGGTCACATTTCTCAGTGCCAAAGCTTGCACGTAGCAAAGCTTAAAACAATGTCATTTCTCAGCATGTAGCCTACTGGGTCAGTGTGTGACGCATGCTTTGTACGACCCACAGGCAACAGTATGTTCCCAGAGAGCTGTAATTGAGGCATAATAACTCACCTCATTGTGCTAATGGGAAAATCTAAGGTCTGCTGGTCATGACAGGTGGGCAGTTAATGCCGAGTGGGATGTGAAGGCTGTGGAAATGAAGCCATCTGAGTTCCTAACCACTCGTCCCATTAGATCACTTCCACGGGCTCCCCGGGGCCGGAGGCAGACAGTGTCCTGTTTCACAGTGTGTATCTGGGCCACTAGCACGCCACTCTGCAAGGCTACCCTTTTAACCTGGGATCAAAAGCTAAGAATAGAACAGGAATGAAAATAAAAGAGTACAATTTTTGCGGGATTTCAACACATTTCTTCCTTTGCTTTTTAAGTATTAAAGATTTCACAAAAAGTAGACAGTAAGAGTCTACTATGATACTACTAACCCTGTAGTAATGTGTGATGTGTGAAGAGTCATGCATCCTTCCGGAGGACTATATTCCATCAACAGCAGGGGAGGGGTCATGCCTGAGGACACCCCTCTCCTCTTACACTGCCTTGATGGTTCCTTGTGATCTCCGGATCTCTTTGAATGACTGTGGTAACCCCCGGTGAGTCACTCCTTCATACTCCTACATAACAAAACTTGGCCTCACCTTCGGTAGGAGATATCATGTCGGCCGTTATGAGTGGTTAGACATTGGGAAAGGATTCAACCGAAGCGTGTAGAAGTGTGTGTGTTTTGTGGTGGCCTTTCCATCGCCCAGCCACATTTAAATCCCACATTTCGAGAGGAAGCCTCCAGTGTGGTGACACACAAACATCACTGTCTCTACAGGGGAGGGATGACCCCCCCCCCCCAACAGCTGTAAGAGAAGCAGGGGGCTGATGATCTGGAGGTCAGAGGCCATAGAGAGGACACAAAGATCGGGGCATGGTGATCCATCGCTCGGCCACTGCGGTGTCCCTCAGGGCCGCAAAGGATGTGGCTGTCATTCCAAACTTGACGGAGAGGGAAAACTCATAAAAATGTCTTTATTGTGGACGGGAAAAACCCAAATGGTTGTGCTCCAAGCAATGAAGAAAATAGGTGCCACATGTACATGCAGCAACTATGTGGATTTACCATCATATCCTGGATTATTAGCTTGTCCACAGTAATAAGAGACATATCAATGCAGTGGAACATGGACATGGGATTTTCTATACAAAGTGAACAAACTATGGGTATATTTTACAGTCAGAGGCTGAGTCATACAGCGTGCTCTATGCAGTCTGGATAATGATTCACAGATTGCTGACCTGCCATGATTAATGTCTCTGCTGGATGCTTTTGACAAATTTTCACCACAAACCCAGAACCTTTTGGAGTTGTTTCCATTCCATATGCTACTGTAGCAGTGGTGTGCATGTGTGTATGCATAAACGCGTGCCAAGACCATACTGTGACTTTTGGCAGTGTGATATGAACTGAGAGGTGTTGCAGTGGTTGTGCCAGAACTCTTTTTTTCTTTTTACATTTGTGATAGTGCTGCTTTGCTAACATGTGCTTCTTAGTTACTTATAATGGTGGTTGAAAAAGGTGCACTTTCTTCATGATGTCATGTGACAGATCAGCAGTGTTGTGAGCATAGACTGTATATATAAAGGTTGTGAGGCAAGTACTTTACTAAATGTACTTTACCTGAATTATGCTACTATTACTTTCAATGTATGCTATTTTGCGGATTCAACTTATAATATATAACTTAACTAATAAATTATGCTTATTATTATTATTATTATTATAGGTTAAGATAAAAAAAACGGCTGATATAGGTGAACACATGCATCACTTCACAATTTAACACTATAATTCAGTGATACAAAGTATATTATTATATTTATACCAAGTGCTAACCATGTAACCATTTAACAGTAACCCGTACTGTTCATACATAAAATCTGCACAAATGACTTTGACCTGCACTCACATCTGCACACATATGTAAATAAATTCAATACTCCAAACTCAAATATGTATATATCTTCATTCAAATGATCAACGTTTTACCTCGTTGTGATATCTCGTTTGAACAGTTACTTATGTTATTATTTGTAATTGTATTGTCCTCGTGTGAATCTGTACTGTCGTGTTTTTCACTCTCACTCTGTTGCTTCAACCTGTTAAACCCCAAGGTCCCCGCCGACGGGGACCCTGTTTTTTTTTCTCACAACACTGTGTCTCAGGGGATCTTAATATTTAAGAACCTATTAATGTGTTATACCAGATTAACGGGAATAATCTCAGATAACTGACGATACAAACAATTTTTACCAAAACAAAACACAAGTCTCATAAGAAGCATCTAAATGACCCCTTAGCGAAAAATGCTAACGGACATTGGCACAGAACTCAAGATAAAAGTACCCTTATTACTTATCGTAGCTGCACATACAAGATATCCGATTAAAGCTGAGGTTCCACAGATTATTTAGCTATATGGTATCATCACTGAGTGATCCGAACTCATGACAGGGGAAGCAAACACAGACATCACAACACGTACCTTTACGGAGCTTCTAGGGAGATCGTCTCACCGTAGCTGTCAATCTGATCAAAAGACGTGTTCAATGGCATTAAAACGAGAAAAAACGCGGCTGAATCGGTTAATCCATAGGTTTTTAACGTCTCTGTATAAACAAATCATTTAATTTATAATCCATAATTCCATTTTTATGTAAAAATCGCAGAGCAAAAGTTAGCTGCTAATGGTAGTCACCAGAGTGGCTGCTGCTTCCAGTCTTGGCTATGCGGCAGTCTAACACACACACATTACCAAATAAGGACAATGTGTGAGTTCCCCTCGATTCCATTGGCTCTGACGGTCAGAAAGAGATGTCACATGTCAAAATCCAGCAAGGGGGGCCAGAGATATGGAAAATCCACCCAAATGGCCCCAGAAGAGGTTTTGTTTTGCTAAATCTGTCTAAAAAGGTCAAATATCACTTGTTTTGCATCAATCTTGATACAGGGTACTTATTATATGTTGTATCAACATGCTGACCACATGGTGCATTTTATAATGAGAACATTCACCAATGACTGCTAATATACCAACCAGTACAAACAGTGCACATGCTTCAAAATCACAGTACAACAAACACTCTTTAAATAACACTTCAACTGCTTTATCTTCAACATCACACACAGTGGAACTACTTTCAATTCTAACATAGAAAAGGACAATTCACCTGGCTACACAGAATTGACTTAGAATTAAAACAGCAAATTCTTTCATCGATTACTGCTCAACTGATTGCGGCCCTTACATTTCGAAAGACATTTCAAATTTGAATAGTGCCTACATTTTAACACGACATTTCCACTTCTCTCAGTGCTTTGCCTTCAATTCTCATAAAACATGGTGCATGTAAACAGCTTACATTCAAACCTGTAAGTGGCATGTTTCTTACTTTTTCTGCAGATAACCTAACCTTTTCTAAAAATGTTTAAAAATTAGCACCGAGTGAGTTCCCCAATTCCCTCTCGGCTGTAATCTCTAATCTAATTTGTCCTTCACATAATCATGAAGGGAATCGCTGAATTTGTTGTAATGCTAAACAGTGTAGTGTTTTGCAAATTCTTTATGCATAGAACTCATTATGCAGCCATGTCTGCAGAGAATGTTTGGGTTCTCAGCATAAATATCGTTGATTATGGATTTGTGTGGATCTCGTCTTTGAACGGTGGCGGGTTTTTAATATTCAAAAAGACGGCTAATGATGTGAAGATGTTCTTAGCATGGCCTGGCCTTTAATCTCTCTTCATATGATCCCCTTTCTCTTCAAAGCCTCCAGAGATGACAACAAAGCTTGAATAACAACACATTTTCAGCAAAACTGTATGAAAAATAAATATCACTCATTATCACAGACGAAGCAAAGCATTGGTTTTCAATGTTTTATTATGAATAGTCTTTGCTATAATTTGTATTTAAAAAGTGTTCAAATCAAACAAGCTCAGGCAGTATCAAACTGCTGATTAAAAAGAAAAGAAAACAATGATTTGGTGCACCACACGCTGTACATGTTAGTGTCATGAGTTCAGGATATTGTTAATACTACTACTCACTGTGATTATTCTTTTATATAGTTTCTAAACTGATCCTCCACTGAGAAGAAAGCTTGACTTAATACACAACAATCCAGAAGCATAGAAAAGGAAATGTGAAATAAGACTGTTGAGAAAACGTGTTTCAATAAATCTAATCTTCAATTACGCAGTGCACACTCACACAGTATTGTTCCGTTTACGTGATAAAACAATATAAAAACACTCATAAAAAAGACTTAAATGATTTAAGACAAAACACATCAAACATAAAACCATGGAAGCTCTTCCCATCATAAATATAGTCAGTAGTGGCGTTTTTTGTTGCTTTTCAACAAAGATGTGCACTGCACATTAGAAACAATTTGTAAAACCTTTTATAAGTAAAAACTCAGAGGTCCTTTTTACAGAAGAACTTTTTAAAGACGGACTTGTTGCGAGGCCGCGGCAGGCTGGAGAAGCTCCTCAGAGAAGAGTCCTGAAGGGGGTCCTGCTGACGGGGGTCCTGCTGCCACCCGGCTGCAGCCATCAGCGGGGGCTCAGAGTCTGGCGACTTGTCTCCAACTACAAGAGTCACGCAGTAGTTGGAGCCTCTCTCCGGGACTCTGCCTGCAGGGGGGGGGCAACATGGGCTTGATCTTCTGAAACGTGGCTGAAAAGAAAAACGGTGAAGCGAAAGTTAGGAAACTAAAAAAACAACAGCTGTTTATGATTCTCAGCTGTAGATATTTAATGACTAACCTGATGTGAAGGAGTGGGAGCGCCGCTTGTTGCTGAGCCAGTCCTCACCCCCGGACACGGGGGAGAGAGGGGAGGAAGAGGTGTTGTCTCTGGATGCTCCAGACAGCCTGTGAGTCAGTGACTGCTTTAAAGTGTCTTCTTGATCATCATCTGGAGAGGGACAGAACATTAGGATTGAGTCACTCCAACAACTCGTTTACTTTCTCATTAAAACTGGCCAGCATGATTGGTCTGGTCGTTAATCTGAGAGAGTGGAAATCAGTTTCCTAGCTTTTGTTTTGTCCTTCCTCAAACTATCACTTTCTGATGCCCAATCCAATTTGGACCTTTCAAATTTTAAAAATACACTGTCATAACAGATGTGAGCTTCTCTTTGATACAGTTGTTTAATAAACTAAGACAATACCTTAGCTCCCCCTAGTGGAACATACTAGACCTGCAACAACTATTCCCTATTTTATTTTATGTTTAGAGAGCTTGATAGCAGACACTACTAAGCTAAATAAAATGTATCACCAAGAGTTAAGAAGCAAGCAAACACAACTTGCTTTAATAAAATCGTTACAGGAAAAATTAATAAAAGTCCTGTTTGATCAATAACTAGTTGCATCCTTTAACCACCATCATTCACAGCCTAACAATGGAGGGCGGGGCTTACCACAGCAGCCTCCATGTGAGCTGGGGGTCTGCTCATCCACACTCTTCAGATGACCCTGCGTCATGTGACTGAACTCTCGGGTGAGGACCACTATCTCTTTGGTCTGGGCGGCGCCGTGGGTTTTGCGCCTGGGGAACGTGGAGGTGACCTCATGGCGGGGGGGGCAGCGGCATGTGGAGGGGCCGGGACAATGGGAGCAGAGGAAGGGCTTTCTGGGCGGTGGGAGGGAAACAAAACATTATTGTAAAGATCAGAAGCATCCCTGGAAATCAAGAGTTGGAGGTTTTTAAATTGTTGATCTTACGAGGAGTTAGGGAGGCCTTGATCAGCCAGGAAACTTGATAATGAAGTCTCACTGCGACCTTTTTTTGGAAAATGAAATAAATGAAGCAGATTATTCTCTCATCAGGTCAGAATTGGCGAACATTTTCTTTGAGATGAAATGCTTACCCGTGTTTGCATGTATTTTCATCATCCATTTCTTCATCAGAAAGCGTGAGGAGGAATTGAGCAGATATTCAGAGCCATCACGGAGCCTGAAGGCCACAAAATACAACGTTTACACACTTTACACTTTTATTTAATGTTCTGAAGGATGCTATGTATATTTACGAGTAATGTTATTTATGTCAATGTAGGGGTGAATGATGATGATGACATATTGTGTTCAAAAGCTAGAGGAAGGGGAAACATTTAACAAAAAAAGTGTGGAAACCTTTTTTGGAGTTTCTTGGACTTTCCTGGACTTCAAGGTTCAGTCTTTTTTTATGACTGTGTGTTGTTGCGTGTATCTACATTGTATATGTTGTTGTGCTCCCTATCTCTGTTTCTTATCCTATATCTAATAGAACTGCTCGGGTCTTGATAGATTGAGTGGGGAAGTTCATAAGATCTTTCTAGAGGGTTATCAAGAATAACTTTTCCCTCTCTGTCTGTGTCTGTGTATTCTCTTGTTCCGATTAACCCAGCCAAATCTTTTTTCTTGTTTTGTATCTATATCTACGCCGGGATCCGGAGTCGAGGCTGATCCTCTTGCTGTAGTCCTGTGTCTTGGATCCTCTATCCTGAGTTCTGGATTAAGTCGTGGACTTCGGGTCGTGGCTGAACCTGTCTCTGCGGTCCTGCCTTGGGTCTCGTCATGCTGCTTCCCTGAAGGCTCCCACAGGATTGTAGCTGACATCCTCGTGGATTCATCTTCTTATTACAGACACATGCATTTCCTAACATTCGGTCTATATGCTGTAAAATGTATTATCTCTTCGATTTACACACGGCATCTATTGCACGTCTGTCCGTCCTGGGAGAGGGATCCCTCCTCTGTTGCTCTCCCTGAGGTTTCTCCCATTTTTCCCCTTAAACTGTGGGTTTTCTCTGGAAGTTTTTCCTTGTACGATGTGAGGGTCTAAGGATAGAGGGTGTCGTTTTTCTCATACTGATATTCTAAACAATCTGTGCTGTTGTATTTGCTGTAAAGTGTCTCTACTGTAGGCTATTTTTATTGTATGTACAGCACTTTGGCTCGACCAAAAATCGTTTATAAATGTGCTATATAAATAAAACTTGATTTGATTTGATATGTGTCTTTTATTTATGTTTTATTTTATTTTCAGTTAATTATCTAGTACAGCAAAATGCTTTGCACACTTATTTCATAAGACGTCTCGCCTAATTTACATTTTGTAGAAGGTCTAGTACTGAAAAGTTGCTTTTGCAGGTGTATGGGAGCTTATTCTAACTTTTTGGTTTATTTCTTAGTCAAATGAATTTTTCTGTAAATATATGCAGGGGTTATTCATGTTTTACCGCAGTCTGAAGCAGTTGGGTTTCTTGGTGTACTCTGGAGCCGGGGAGCACTCCGCTCCGAGGAGGTTGAGCGGCAGGCCACAGACAGAACTCTGCAGAATAACACAGAGTGATCACCATCGACTCATCCACTTCAATTATTCATCATTTTCTGTTCCTCTGGGCTTTAATTGTCGTCATGTCTTCTGCTTACCCTCAGTGTATCCTTCCTATCCTGGTAGAAGCACAAGGTGTGTCTGTAAAGGACGGCGTGGTACGAGTTCCATCCTCTGGAGGCAGCCTGAGAAAATAAGATAAGAGCTGACTGCTGCTGACTGCGGGCTTTACATCTGCTGACCGCTGAAAACATAAAGCGGAGGCTTTCTTACTTTCTTTCCTCCCAGCTGAAGCTTGTGTTTCCTCTCCAGTGTTCCCTCCATAGTCTGCAGCTCAGGCCTTGCACTCTGAGAGGAGTTGAATTAACAACATTTAGGCAAAACTCCTCAATGTGATGAATACAAACAGTTACTTACTTCTAATAAGAGCTTAACAGATTTGATTCCTCTCACCAGAGTAACACAGCGCCCTCTTGTGGTCATTAAGTCTTCCTGCTGCTCCAGGCTGTGAGGGGCTTTCCTCTGCTGGCAGACCCCCTCCAAACCCATATGTACTGAGAGCAGGCTCATCGACTGGTCATGTTCAGAGAGAGAAGTTTCACAATAATCAATCATGACGAGTTGCAAATTTTTTTAAATATCAAGGCCAGAACAGTGATAAATGTTACTAATTCCAACTACAGATTAAAAGCAAAATGTCTTTAGATTCTATTCACTATATATATGTGAAAAAGAACACATATACATATATCTTATTAACATTTGAATTGATAAATATTGTGATAATGGGTTTTCTTATAATTGAGACATGGTGGGTTAAAGTTTCAGTTCCCCCAAATTACATGAAAAACACATCGAAAAAGGTTTCTTGCTTTATCTTCTTCTTTGATGGTATATAATGACAGCGTATTAGTATAGTATATAAGAAATGGAGCCTAAGGGAGGTGGTAGTATTCCTATAAAAATAAAACATCTTTGATGTTCAGATTATTCACTATAATTACGTACATTTGAAACAAATATCTGGAGAATAGATGGCTTTTTTTTTTCAACCACATGGCATTACTTTCTACCACAGACGCCACCACTTTCTGCGTATCCTGCCTGCAGTGGATGACCTAATCACTTTGCACTCAGATTTAGCAATAACAAAATGTTTGCCCAGATTCAACATATTATCATAAGAATCCAAACTGGTCCTATTCAGAAGACAACATACTGATTTAGATGACGTAATAGCTTCTGTGATGTGGTTTCCTTTCTTTTGCTCCTACGTTTCTGAGCTTTTTCCTCGTAAATGTACCACTTTAACCTCAGAGAATATTCGTGTTTTTTCTTAGCATATTACCCTCCTCCCAAGGCTTCGTTTTAATTTACTACAATCGCTCATAGACAGTCGTACTATCGAGACTTGCTGATAGTTTGGGATTTATTTGCTCAGGATTTAGATACTGTATGTGTAAGGAGAGGCCGAATGGTGGAGAAAAGAACTCTGTTTGCGGTTCTTACAACCAATAAAAATGAACGTCACAAAACAGTGTTAAATCCTTTAAGAAAAATTAAATTTGTTGTCATTGTAATCTTACATGCTGTGAGCATGTTTACCAACAACATTCTAACCCTATGCCTACAGGCCAGCAGGAATATACGTTTTTTTGTAATTTGGGTGAACTGATAAGGTCTCAAAGTTCTGGACATTACAACATCTCAAACCTCACCTTGGAAGAACCTGTGAGCTCATCCACCTCCTCCCCCACCTTTGCCTCCTCCTCCTCCTCCTCATCTCTGTACTGATAAATGTATCTCTGATTGTCCCCCACGTCCGGCAGCTTCACTGGGTCCGACGCCGTCTCGTTCACCGTCACCGAGCTCTTCCCGGCTGGCTCCCTGTTGGGGAAGGCCGCCCAGGACTTCCTGTCTCCGGTGGCCAGCGGGGGGAGGTGACCTCTGGGACTCTGCTCCTTGTCGTATCCCAGCAAGCTCTGAAGGTAGGGGGGCAGTTTGAACTCTGCCACCAGGAGGTTGGGGGCTGAGGCTGTGACCAGGTTCCTGTAGAGCACAGCCGGGGTTTTGGGTGACGGTGAGCGGGAGAGGGGCTCTTTAGATTGGTCAGAGGGTTCAGGCTCTTCCTGCTTGGGCTGGTACATGATGTCTGAGCAGATGCTCTGTCTGTAGTTGGTTGTCTGGTTCCAGATATCCTCCAGCTCTTCTTCTTCCTCCTCAAACTGCTGGTGGTCGAGAAGGACCGGCTCTGTTTCCTGCTCTGTCGATGGACCCGAAGATGTGTTCTCTCTTGTTTTAGCGCAGTCCATCCCCCCCACCTGAAGGGACATGAGCCTCCCCACGACGCCCTTTGGCTGCAGGTTATCTGGACACGGAGCCTCAGTGCAGAGCTTGATGCTGCTGGAGGTGGAGATCCCCGAGTCTACAGAGTCCTGGCGAACGCTCACGCTCACTGTCGACTTCAGATTCACGACCATATGAGAAGCTTGGCTCTGACACTGTGGTCCTGGACTCTCTTCAAGCACATTCTGGGGTTTTGCACATTTATGGTAGTGGTGTCCGTTCAGGTCTCGGATCAGCGTGTGGACACTCGGGCATTTGTGTTTGAGGTCAGCTGTGTTTTGGGTTTGATTCACATAAATCGGGGGCTGGCAAGGTGGCTTGCTGGTCCCATGTCTTTCAGCCGTACAGGACGACCTTTTGTCCCACTCCTGCTCTGCATCCTCAAGCAAGGTGAGCTGTTTAGACATTTCTTCGTATGGTACAGTCTGATCTTCATCTGTAGAAGAAGGAGGTGATTGGAAGCGGTTCCCCATATCAATCAGATCTTTCACTGTCCGTGTTTCAGGAAGACTAAAATCCGCTGAACTGCGTGTGACGGACGGAGTGGGTCGAGTCTGTTTGAAGGAGCTCAGAGCCGTTTGCCTCTGCGAGTGGGGGTCCGGATCAGTCCCTGCTGGTGTTTTGGTCTCTGGTGGGGCGATAGTAATGATGTCCTGAATGCTGGGGATGAGGGTCATGTCCTTAGGCAGCTCGAAGCTCAGCACGGAGCCCAAAGAGAGGAACCTGCAGTGGCTTCTGGCCTGATCTGTGGTCGGGCTCTCTGACATGGCATATGGAATAATGCTGTATTCTCCTGAACATTCCGAATCAATGTCTTTCACCAGGGGATTCTTCATGTAGGCCATTGCTTCTACTCCATCCCCACTCTTTGGTGAACCCTTCTTCCTCCTGGCTTCCTTCAGTGGCCATGTATGCGTGTCGTACGTTATTGTCTCGCAGTCGTAATAAGGCATGCCTTCCGTTTGGTCCTCCACTCCCATGATTTTCTGGATCGTGTGCCTGCGAGTGTCTCTCTTCCTCTTTCTCTTCTTGCCCATCCTCTTCAGGCTGCTGAAGATGGAGGTGCTCCCTGCTGAAGGGTGGAAGGATACATTCGCCGACTGAGATGCAGTCGCGGAGGAAGAGGAGGAGGATGCCGAGAAAGTAGGGGAGGCTGAGGCTGCAGAGCGCCTCTTTTGGCGGGGCAGGGTGATGCTCTCATACACAGGCGCCACGGCCAAGTTGTTATCTGTCACATGCAAGTAGGTACTTACCTAGAAAGAGAGAAGGATGTTAGGCAATTGTAAAGTCTTTATCTAAAAAGTGAACCCCGTAGGAATCATGTGAGCTGCAGGCTGGAGCCCTCTGCGAGAACAAGAGCTGTTTTATGTGTTACAGATGAATCATGACATGAGAGCAAACCTGACCAAGACAATTAGCCATTTTTCAGAGACAAACATCAGTTCCTTTCCCTCTACATCCCACATATTAAAAAAAACAATGGGTTCAGGAATGTACAAGACTCACACAGCAATGCAAATGATTTTTAAAAAACACACGAAAAAGACATAAAAATGAGATGAAAGGACAAAAGAACATGATTGCAATCGCACACTTGCGGGACTTAACCAAATACATATGTGGCAGCACATGCCGTCATATGCAGCTGTAATGGCTTGACCTTTCAACTCTGTGACTAATCTCTTGTTTCTGTGGAAGCCCCAGACTATAAATCACTGTGTGCAGTCTGGGGGCCTTCCTTTAAAAGTTCAGCACCGGTTCTTGGTCTAACGACTGTGCCTGTATTGGCGTTCGGGACACACTCCTGCTGGGAGCCATTTTGGAGGAAGTGTAGGTGAGGTCACTTATTTTAAATGAGCGAGGCACAGCCGCAGGAGAACCAAACAAGAGCAGGTCTGCGTCCGGCGTGCGGGGAAATGACAGAAGGAGAAGAGAAAGCTTTCTGTCAACATTCACAGCGGGGGGGATAAGACTGTGTGGGCTTCTCCTACTCATCACTCTCATTCTGTGTCTGCCATCAGCGCTCTACAGCTTTTAATCCTGGCGTGTTGAACATGTTGAGCTCCAAAGAACATTTTTAAGGAAAGTTGGAGTGTAAACATCCTGATTCATTGTGGGATATTCAGTCGGGGATTTAGCTTTTTATCAGAGTTTACACAGGAAAAACTGAAAGGGCAAGTGACAGATTACGGAAAGATGGATTCCAAAATATACACATTTGTTCTCAAGATTACTAAAATAATAGCTTGTTTTTCAAGCTGGCATGTAGGATGGGTTACATGAGTCCTTTAAGTATTAATACTGCAAATATGTTTAAGTCTATTTTTAAATAAAATAGCATAGAGTTTAGTTTGTTATGGCACGTTCATTTGAAGAAAACTAATTGTAGGATTCGTGAAACTTACAGAGTGGTGAATTTTGTTTTAATAACAATTACGTTATTGTAGTTTATGTTTTTTTGGTATTGGTCATTTTTTGTTATTTTATAATATATTATTGTGTGATTGCAAGGGGTTGGTTTGCGTGGGTCTCATGGATATGGTCAGCGCTATGTGAGGTGTGTCTCTGTTGACAGCGATATTTCGATAGTTGTAATTATTAATACAATTCCTCTGTGCATGTTGTAATAAGTTGTAATTTTTTCATTACATTTTCACTGCATTTTTTGATGCAATTACTTTTTTTGGTTTCCTGAAGTCACTACATTAATAGTGAAAAAAACATTTAAATAAAATCTTTTTAAAACATACATATCCTTTTGGGTTGTCATTATACTATACACATTGATATATACATTAAATGTATGAATCTTTTTTGTCCACCAATTGGAGATCAAATGTATTACCTCACTTCATTCATTACGTTCATATTTTATACGAATGGATTGTAAAATCAACAATTTTCTTTTTCCGTCCCATAACGACAGAATGTGTTTATTAAAAATTGAATTTATTTGGTTTTGAATTTGTATTTATGACTGCTGTAAAGTAGGGACATTCCGAGTTGTGGCAGTTAAATGGTTTGTTATCTTTCCTCACAATAAGTGTCCGTTTCCCAGAGATGGTATGAGAGACACTGTGATAGCACTTTGGCCTGTCTTGTTTCTTTTAACGCTTACCTGGCTTACAGAGCCACGGGGAAGACCAGCTGTATCTCGCAACAGGGGTTAGTTGAGCATGCTGCCCCAAGAAAACAACACAGCATGCAGTCCCGGCACACTTTGAGACGCAGCATGCAGCGCCAAATCACACCGCGCTATTTACCTCGTTTGCACTCTGCCGATAAATCGTTTTCTTTCGCTTTAAACTACCAAAAGTATTTTCCAAAAGCCCCTGGCAGCGCCTCCAAAAGGTTTTACAGGCAGTAGACTGAGGGGGAAAAAGGAAGATGTGAAGGCCAAAGGGGGAGAAAGGAATGAACAGCAGCAGGAGGGAGATCCCATGCAGGGGGAGAGATGTATGTAGCCAATAACAGGGTCTTCCCATAGTGCACTTTGGTGACTGTGTGTGTTTCTCACCCTGTGGACAGGCTCACTCGTCTCCTCCACTACCTCCTCCGTCCTAGCAGGCGTGTTTTCCAACACCTGAACCTGGCTGTCCCCCTGCCCCCCGAAGCTCAGGATGAGGTTGACCGTGCCCCCTAAAGCGGGGCTGCCGGGCTCCTTGAGGATCACGATGGAGGATTTAGGAGACTCTGAGGAGGGGGCCTCGCCGCCCCGTGGTCCGATACTGTTCATGACCTCATACCCGTCCTCGAATTGCTTCTCCTCTTGCTGCTCAGCTTGTCTCTGCGGCAGCGAGGAGGGTGGGCCGTCTCTTGCAGCCCGTAATCTGTCTTCAATGGAGGTGACGACAGGGGACATGTGGGACTCATAGGCCTCTCGATCAGGAGCGGAACTCTATGTATGGAAACAAAAATGATTCAATATTCACATTGGTAAATAAGTACTTGTACAGTAAAAGCATTTTAGGAAATGGAACTGGAATTGTATTCCCCACTCTTTATCTGAAACCAATCAGTATATCAGTCCTTTATAGTTAAGGTTTTGTGGCTTATTATGATGATTCTTGATCATTATGATAAGAAATGTGTTTGTGGATGCCAACATCTTCAGTTCTACTTCAGGCTATAATAACATTTGCTGGGATTTTTATTAAAAATAAATACTTCTTGGTTTGAAATAGGTAATAAATATATAAATAAGTATTGACGTCATGTTATTAATACAAATATAATGATATTATGTTAATAATCTAGTGTCTCAAGTTATTTTAATTTCTTTACATTCTCACTTTTTCTCCCTCCTCCAACACCACACTCACACAGATGAGTGTCATTCATTACCCAAAACATAAAAATCATATGTTCTATAGGTATTGGAAAATATTGTTATATTGTTTGGGCCACAATAATCGTATTTGAAAATCTGCTATTAGTATAAGTGTAAAACTTGACATGGTACACATTTTTTTAGATTTTTAAGGACTTTTGCTTAATTTTTTTCCAGAGACCAATGACTGTCCCTAGAATAAATGCCTTTGTGCTTATGTACCTCTGTCAATGTAGAGCACATAGTGGCCTCAGAATAGATGTTATCCTGTGAAGGCTCATCTCTGCCCATCTTGTGAAGCCACTGTTGTTTCTGAGCCCTCCAGTGCACTGAGATCCAGCCGAGCATGCTCCTCAGCTCCTCCATGCGCTCTCTTACCTGTAAGACATTACTCAGGGTTGTAAAGGTGGACAAATACAACAGTTTATTAAAAGACCGCAGTGAGTCAGCATTCAAACTCACCATCTGCATGAGGTGGTGTCCTTTGTCTAAAAGGTTCCTCCCCGTGTCCGCCAGCTCATCAAACTCTTCAAACTTTTGCTCAATCTGCAAGTCCAGCCCAGCAGCGAGTGGCCTCTGCCCGTCTTTCCCAAGATGCAAGGCGGTATCTGAGAAAATGCACGACCTGGTGTCTTCAGTCCAAGAGCTACACAGAGGAATGGGGGGAGGGAGAAGACAAGGAGCAGAACTTTGAGAAAAGCCATACGTTCTAACAAAACATGAGATTGACCAGACTCTCCCTGATAGGACAGACATTCATCGTCTTGTGCGCTGACCTCCTTAGCACATCTTCAATTATACATTTCACCAGGGACATGCTCTTGCTTGACAACGAGAACATCCTGTCCTTCCCCTTAGGAAGACATTGTAATGTGCAGATGTTTCTCACAAAGAGGATTACGAAACAACGTCTGGCAGGAAAAAGGTCTTCACAGCATCACCCGAGCCCGCCCTGCTTACATCATGGCGAGGTAGCTCCTGAAGAAGTCCTGGAGCTGCACAAACTCCTGCAGACGGGACTGGTTCTCCGCCACACTCCTCCCCAGCTCCGTCCAGCCCTGCAGCATGGCCCGGATCTTTGCCTCCAGAACGTGCACTCTCTCCGGGCACAGCTCCTCCAAACGAGAGGTCTGGCTCTCCATCTCCTTCACCTCCTCCCTGATGACTTCATAGTCAATCTGCGGAGAATCACAATAAAAAAAAAATCTATCATCGTCCATCATCCTCGGTATCACTCAAACAGCCTGTACCAATTGTATCTCTGTGTATGACTATGACCTCATCCCCATAGTTGTATGCATATCATTCAGCGAGAGACCCATATGGTCCGCATATGGGCTCCCATGCCGTAGCAAGCTAGCAATCTTGACCATTTTTGTTCTCCTTTTGACGAGGCGGTAATTAATAGCGTTGAGGGTTCTCTGGGAGTTATGCTTCATAACATTTCTCAGCTACAGAAGGCCTCAAGAACACGGAATGGTGGATGCCTGTCTGCTGACGCCACAGTTATTTCAGTTTGGACGATTAGGTCATTTCTGCTCTTCAATGGTATCAAGTCCAGACAGCTGTGTGTGTGTGTGTGTGTGTGTGTGTGTGTGTGTGTGTGTGTAAACATAACACTGCCCAAAAATGACTCACACAGGACTGTACCAACCTCACATCTCCAACCCTGTGACCCCTCAGATGTGTAGAAACACAAACCCCGCCAGATTTACTCACAAACACACACACTTTGAAAGTTTACAGAACAATGACTCACACAAGCGTAAATAAATATCCTGTGTGAATAATAAACGTTTGCACGCTCTATGTGTATGATTGCACGGTGCAGTTTATGTAATAAATTAAATACAGCACAAAGCATGATGGGCTGCCCTCTTTTATTTTTTTAGATGTGAGAAAAATCTGGCACAACAGGAAACAGACTGTGGAACAATGTGTGCGAGAAAGAGAGGGGGGCTTCCCTTTTTTTTAAATCACACCAAGCAAAGGTCATTAATCCAAAGCCAATTGGATGGGATGCTAAATGATATTAGCTCCAGTGTTTACAGCGTCTTCCTCTCACCTCCAGGAGGTCCTGCCTCTCCTGCAGAGCCTCCAGGCCGCAGCGGTCGGGCTCACACTGGACGGCCATGTCTGTCTCCTTCTCCAGGATGTCCAGGCTCAGCTCCTTGCTGCAGCTCAAGCACTCCTCCACGTGCACCGCCAGGCTGGCGTGCTGGAGGGGAACGCAAACTCATCATGAGTACTCGTAGGATGTCATTACGCCTCGCTGTGTATTATTTGTTCTAGCCACATTGCAAGTAAATATTTAAAAGGGTGTCATGGAATCCCTTCCGGCCGTGTGTGTGCGTGTGCTATTTTGACATGTGTGCTGCTTTCTGTACCAGGAATAACTGGAATTAACACGGAAACACTCATGTGAGGGGGACTTGTGGCTCATTTAGGGCCTATTAAAGAACATAGCCACAGACAAAAGGAAACCAGATGTGACTCTATGGGTTGGCAGCTGTTTGTGACAGAAGTTGAGGGATTTAACAAAAACCTTCAGCCCACTCAGATTATTGTAATTTCACAAACATTGCAGTGAATATTAGATCTAATATAAAGTGACTCCCATCTCCTCACCTTGCTCAGCAGCTCCTGGATGGCCTGGTCGTGGCTCTGTGATCGGCCCCTCTCCCTAACGGTGTCATTGAGCATCTCTACGGCCTCTCTTAGTTCCTCCACAGGGTCTCCCATGCTTTCTATCAGGGGCTCACTCCCGCCACTGCTTTGGAGTCCCAGTAGTGTAGGAGCTGAGGAGATCTCACTGTGAAGAGGCTGTTAGATACAGAAAGAGACAGAGTTGTAATTATAAGGGTGGTTGGACATTTGTAATTGTCTTACTTTTTGTTTCTTAGTTTTGAGATATTCATTGCTCATACAACAACAAAATAATAATCTGGAGGTTTGTGGATAATGTAAGGGTGCAAAAGCATTGCAACTGAACTGTAATACTTCAAGTCACCAAAAGAAAATGTCACCTTTATGACATCTCACAGACTAACATCACATAGCAAAATCCTTACATAACAGTATCTGAACAAATCCTCAAGAATTTCTATTATGAGCTGCAATCATGACACTAGTCACTTTAGTATACTTTTCATCTAGTTAATGTGTGTCATCATGGTGTCATAGGTGCTACTGGAGAGACCTACTGTAGTGCTAACTAACACAGAAGCCCCAGTTCCTCACCTGACCGAGGCTGTAGCGACTCCCGCTGAGCTCCTGGCTCTCCTCCAGCTCCACGCGCTCCAAGAACTCCGTCAGCATCCGTGTGTCCTGCAGCTCGGAGTTCTGCTGGGTCAGGGCACTTTGGACACGATGGTACCTGAAGGACACACATAGAAACAACCAGTAGGAAGCTTTTAATGACAAGCTACACCTCCGCATACGTATATACAGTACAAGTCTGCATCCGTTGGAAGAACCACATTAAAGAGACCTCCATCAGAATACAGAGTTCATGTGCTACAGCGCTGTTTATGTTATCATATATCATGTGTCACGTAAACATTTCCTGTACTTCAGGGCATGAATGTACCTTGTCCATGCAGTTTATATTTGAGATGGTAAAGGGAGGAATTTCAAAGGGTATTTTTCCCAGAATAAATGAGCCTTAAATTGCTTGTACGCAGCATTAAATAATGACATCATCGCAAGTGTCTTACAGCTGCTTGGTGAGAGCCTCTACCTGCATCAAAGGTTCCTCAGACTGCAGTGTGTCCATCCCCCCCCCCCCCCTATCTAACACCCCCACCCTGGAAACACTTAAACTGAGCCCTTTCCATTTCTTTATGTCAACTGTGTTCTTTACAGAGTCTGAACGTGTGTTTATGGACAAAGGTACGTCCTTTAAACAGGCCAACATCATGGGGTTTTACCAAGAGTCCATGGCAACGACTTGTCTTTCCAGGGCCAACCAAAGAGAAAGGCGTCATCTTGCAACACATGCAGCGGGTGACTCTGACACACACTGACAAGCTGTGGGCTGAAGTGCATTTCGGGACTCTGGGGTAAACTCAGAGTGCTGCATGAATCACGAATGAATAAACTTGAACCTCGCAATAAATGAGTGCATGGAGAGCATTCTTTATTGGCAACCCCGAGAAAAAACATGAGATCTAATATATTTTTGTGGTTTATGGGATGAAATTGTTTATCTTAAATAAAAACCGGGGATTTTATGAATAAACTCTTCCATGACTCGGCAAGCCCAAACCTGTGACCTCTTGGAAACACTGACAACATCCTTACTGTGTTTCCTGACCACAGTGACGAGCAAAACCACCAGAGTGTGATTGTTCAGACCCATAACATGACTCTTATTTGAAGATATGACCCCTCCTTCTCCTCCTCTGACAAACTCACTCTCTTTCCACCTCCTCCATGCGTGCCGGCAGGCTCCGTGTGTGGGGGTGACTGGCGCTGTGGAGGCGCTCCACCTCCTGCCTCAGAGCTCCGAGCTCCAGGCTGCGAGCTACCACCTCTTTCTCCAGCAGACAGCTCTCCCTCTCGGCCATGCTCATTGTTTCGGGGTCACCGGCGAGAGCAGACTCCTTCATAGAGAGCTCCACGGACTCCAGCCAGGCCTCCAGGCTGCCGAGGGCCTGGAGCACTTTAACAACCTGCACAGGACACAAGCACAGAAGCTAATGATGAACATGCTATGCTGCTAAGATTTAGTGCAGAGCAAAAAAAAAACAACCAAAGGCTTTATTGTCATATGCATAGTAGCTACAGTGTAGATATGGCAATGGAAATCTTAAGTCCCAGCTGCTCCCACAATGCAACATAATATTTCTATGACATAAAACAATAAAACTAATTGAAAAACAATAAAATAGTGCAAGAATAAACAGAGTATACTATAATAGTGCAAGCTTGTGCAAGACCAATCTGTAAGTAATGCAGATGAAGTGAAATGTATACACCTACATCTTTTTAATAGAATAAAAAAAAGAACAAAATGTAAGTGTACATGGAAATGAAAACTGTTTATTGTAGTAATACATACATTGTAATGAGGTGATGTATAGTGCAGAGAAGACAATAACGGGTTTACCTAGAGTAAGTAGATCATCTTTTGTAATAAGAAACTCCAACTTTCCAACCAAGTCATCAATCTGGGCAGATTTGTAGCCTCTTTCCATCCCATCATCTAATTATATGGCAGTGCAATTTATATACCTTGGATTACCCTTCATAAATTCGGGGACTCTAGCTTGCAGACTCTTCCAATTAGGATGTTAAAGATGAAAGTAAATGAGCTTCTAACCATGAGTGGATGTAAAGGCTTTTTGCCAGTTGAAAGCTTCTCCAATGGGATCCAGGATCATCCGTCGTCACCATACATTTAAAGTAAAAGCCTCGTTGTTACTCAAGAGGAGTGCCTATTGTGTGAGATATTTGATGAACCTCACCCTGAAGCCCAGCTCCTCTGAGGCCTGCAGAAACGCGTTGTTCCTCTGGTGCCTCCTCCGCAGCTCCTCCCATAGGACCTCCAGCTGGCCCAGGAACTCCTCTATCTTGGCGCTGCCCGGGTGCTGTGCACGGACCAGCCCGCGGCCCTCCTGAGGATTGAGCGTTAAACTGATGAGAGCATGTGATGACTAAGGACTGGGATTTGGTTGTGAAATACGGACCTAATCTGCAGCTTTGGGGTTACTAAAGCCATGAGAGATGAAATGTCAGCTCATTATTTGAATAATGCCTGTCCAGGTGCCCAGTTTGCAAAATGTGGGGGGATATTTTTCATTGGCCTTCATCCAGTGCTTATGTTTTTAAGACAAACTGTGAAAAGGACTTGGCTTACCCGTTTGACAACCTCTATCCTGGCCCTGTTGGTCAGGATTTCTTGTTGCAGAGCGTGCTGACACCTCCTGGCTGCCTCCAGGCCCTCAGAGCTGGCTATTGAGCACACCTGCGTGGCCATGGACACGTTGTCTTTGAGCCAGGACAAAGTCTGAGATGGAAAGGGGAGCAAACAGGGACAGGGTTCAAGAGGAGAACAGCTTAGAGATATATTTCTAAACAAGGGTGATGACATTTAAGATTCCACAGGAAGCCAAAGCAACCAGGTGTTTTTTTTAAAATTCTGACCCAATTCTATGATTTTATCATTTACTGCTGAGGTGGCATTATGAATGTGAGACATATATTTACTCAGTCTTATTATAAATACATTAAATGTCTTGTCTTTTGTGTGAACCAAAGGAAAACAAGTTGTTATAACGGTTATAACTAGTGTACATCCTAAACAAAGGAAGGTAAACACACTTAGAATTTGTACAAATAAATACAAATAAATACAATTATTGGAAATGAGAACACAGTAGTACACATGTCAGTAAATAGCCACAGTATAACTCCTGACAACGCTGTATCATTTACAGTCATAATGTCTGTGGCCGGTTACAAGAAAAGGGTGCTTTTAAATGTTAAAAAGTAAATAATAATGTGAGGTAGAGGACACAGGATTTGGTTTTGAAAGGGGATTTTTGGTGAAAAAGGGAATTGCGGATGTGTATGGCCGAGCCGGTCAATCACCTTGTCAGCAGACACGGTGAACTTCTGGAGCTGCGAGGGGAGCTGTGGGTGGCCTCGTGTGGCGGTGGCAAGCCTGGGCTCTGCTCTGGGCTTCCTGCTGCAAAGAAAATACAGACATGTGACTCCAATTATGACTTACATAAAGACCTCTCATTATGTAAGTCACAGAGAGAGAGAGAAGCCAGGCCGAAAAGTCACCTTTCCCCCTTTAATTGATGTCGGACGATGACATCATTTGCGGAGGCAGGACCGCCTCCCGTGGGCGACGAGGTGTGGTTCCCTGATGGCTGATCCTGGCTGAGGCTGCTCGGTGTCCTCCTACCCATCCCACATTCAACAGGACTCTATGGACGAGAGTCAAAAGAAAATCCAAGAGATCAGCATCATGACATGTGAGTAATGTTTGGCTTTTTCTGTCAGCCGTCCATTGAATGAAATGTCCTCTGGAGGCATAAACATCTCAAATGGAGGATTTATAGTGCGAGGAGTCACAAGACAATGAGCCGTTGCTGTAGCTCGCTGCTAATGTGAATGCTACAATGTGGCTGGAGGTGGGACAACATGGACGTCTGCCCAGAGAGTAAAGTAAAGCCTCTCCTGTAAATGGCACAAAGCGAACTCCCTCTTAAAAAGGTTGGCTCTTGTCTGTGAAAGAACCCAGGCCAGACTAAAGACACAAGCTCCTTTTGGTTTGACAGCACCAACGTCTGAAATAAAAACACTAAAGATGGCAGTGAAAGTTTAAATATGTTATAATTGCTTTGTGAATGAACACATTAGGTCTACCGTCTAACAAGGTGGCCAACATGTGCTATAACACTCTGATGACTAAAAAGAGCCATTGCAGTTAGGAACATAACCCTTCTTTGAAATCCCCTATCCCCAGCGCTCATTAAACAGCTGCAGTGTGTTGTCGGCCTTAGATACTGATTTCCACCCAGACTGTGTTTAGAACTATGCAGTGCAGACTTTAGCAAGGTCAACGCCAGAGCTATAGAACTTGTCGATGTGTAGAAATATATTAGAAACGTCAGCAGCCATTACACCTCTTTTACAATCATGTGAGTGCTTTAAAGGTTGGCCAAAGGACTCTGCATGAGGGTTTCCAAAGAGAGCTACATATATCTGGCATATCATAAAATGGGATATTAGGGCGGGACGGCGTATCGTTTTCATTTTACATTCAAAGCCTCTATTAAGGTTTAAAATGATGATTTCGTCATACTTTTGGACCTTATCACACGCAGAAGTATTGAATTTGGCAATTTGATCCCCTTTTCTTGCTCTTTTAATGCTGCATCTATACAACAAAGGCCCCCTCTTGCACAAAAAATATCTTATAAATAAAAAAAACATAATGTTGTGTATGAAAATTGACATATAGATTGAAGCCGAATATTTTGTAATATGAGAACATGTTTCGCTTTTTGTAGATGATGACATATCTCTTTTTTTTAATGCATTTTGACCATGTACAATACTTGTTTAAAGTTTTGGTTGTTCCCATTTCATTTTAGGTATGCTGTTTGTATGGATCATTTAAAACCATATATCAGCCAACACAACTTTTAGGTTCTTTGTTAATAATGTTTTACTTGCTTTGGTTACCAAGACCGCTTGGCCTAAATATGAAACAATTAAAGCTATAAAACTAGTCGAACATTCTCTTACGCTGACATTTCCCTGTCTAACTGTATGAATAATACAGACCATGCTGTGTTAATTGTTCTTTATAACATAATGTCTTTCACATATGCCAGTAAAAGCTGACATAAGTAAGGTCTATGAACAAACAGCGTGCCAAATATGCGACTGTCAATGCAAAAAAAAAAAAATATGATTTACATGACAGCTAAAAAGCACGAAACAGCCATTAATAATAGAGTTTAATGGAGTAGCTTTAATTTATTTTCAGACTTGGCTTATAGAAGAAGTGAGTCAGGGACCTGGAGGAAAGCGTTGCCTTAAAAATGAGGCGAGAATTAAAAGGCTCTAACATCATTTACTAACATGCAAGTCATTTTATAGACCGGTCTGAGTTTCATAGAGGAACATTATCGGGCCGATTTTTGCGCTGAAACTGCAGAACTAACAAACTACTGTGATTAATTTGACAGGCGCGATAACCATCAATGACGTGTCCTCCCCCGATATTTGCTTCTGTCCTTCATCCTTCACAGAGGCTTCCACTGTAAACAACTCCTGCGGTGCACCCAACATCCCATTCTTCCATTTGAAAGAGAAATATGTCTTAAAAAAAATGATGTTTCATTATTTACTACATCATATTCAAAAGTATTCTGTGATTTTAGGCATCATCCAATCATTTGTTCTTTCAGCATACTTCTCCCTATCTTGGTACTGTTGATTCTTATCTGCTGATCTCCCCTGTGTCTTTCTACAATGTGCTACAAAGTGATGTCAGCCAAGAACTATTACTTAGCACCAAGCCCATCTGGTCCGCAGCCCCGGCATCTGGCAACAATTAGCCAGAGAAACAGACGATAGCCATGTTTACCTCCAGCAACAAGAGGCCATACTACTGCTGACACAGACATGATATATAATATGGATTATCCTGCATGTATCCATACTCGAACGGACGCCAACACTTTTACAGTAACCTTTTATCGAGTCAAATTGCACCAGCGAGGGATAGACTACGAGGGAAAAAGTGTGTATGTTAGCACGTCTGCAGATCAACTGAAAGTTCTGTCTACCACCACATATGCAAATCGCTGCAGCTGCATCTCGTACCCTTTCAAAATACTGTAATCAATTCCACACACCCAGGAGCTGGAGTTAAAGTGAAAGTATGTGATTAAATGACTTTTACTGTTCAACTGGTGGTGCAACAGTAAAACTGAGTTTGGCCTTTGGGCTCCAGGGTTCTGTTTGGAGTGTATTATTAGTCCTTCCATAAAGAGTAACAAGAGGGGCCCCCACAGACAGCAGCACATACGTAACTCCTAGCTCTGCAGTGAAAGGAATCGGGACGTTAAGAGAAACAAATGAGCCAGGCTTGCTGGCCTCATGGTTCCTGTCACAGGTGAAGGAGTGGTTGAAGCCTAAAAACATGAGCAGGGAAATAAACTGACCCTGAAACAAAGCAAGAATGGAAAGAGTGAAGTCTTCTTTCCTTGAGCATCTGGGTACTTTTTCCCGAGGCGAAACGAGGCCAGAGGCTCAGCAGGGACTTCACTTGAGCTCAAGGTCAGGAGCATTGAATTCTGGGATTCCTCTGGGCTGGGCACAAATAGCGACTGTTCATTTACTTACGGATTGTAAAGAGATGTAATGTGCCAACTTAAAAGACTACAAATAAAGATAATTATTGGTTTTAACATAGCCCACAGTTAAGTTCCTCGATACGTCCTCTTCTAAAAGACGCTAACAGTATTTCCTCTAGGTTTATGAGCAGTGGCAGGTCAATAAAGTGCTTCAAAGATGAGGAATGTTGTGTCTGAGGAATACACATGTTCTGCAGATTATACACTCACCCCAAGCTGACCCACAGGCCATCTATTAATACAACATTAGTCCAATGACTGTGTACTTTGTAAAGCCAAGATACTATTTTACCATAGAAATGCGGTTTTGGAGGGAGAGACTTATTAGCTCTGGCCCAGTGTTCAGCCATGTTGTACCGTCACAGCTTGACATTTTTCATGGCAACTTATGGTATTCTTGTGCCAGGGTAAATAACACCTCTCAAAGCTCTTCCTGTGACTGAGGTAAATGCAGTATATAGTATATACTGTATAGCACTTTTCTTTGTGTAGTTGAGCCAAGGTGTCTTTTTCCCTCATCTTATCAAGGGCTTCCTCACAACTCTTACATCATATGGTGTTATTAAGTGCAACTAACTAGCTGGGAGGATGGGAAAGCAGCGGCTGCCAAGACTACAAGCCACAGCTCTACGGACCATCTGACGACTCCAAAAGCACTGTTATTTAGGAAAAACCTGCTTAAATAGTAAATCAGGCATTTTCCAAACCAGAGAAATGCGTCACTTTGTGCAGCCACAGATGCCGTAGGACTGGAAGAGGCTGATGGCGCAGCAGTGTGGTTTCTGCAGTTATAGAGTGAAATACCGAAGCTTCTTACCACGCAGCCTTTCAGCCGATTCTGCTCCTCCTTCACCTCCTTTCCCATGAGCCTCTGCGTCTCCGTTCCCACGTTGCTCTGGGGTTCCCGGGCCGGTGTCAGGGGGTCAGCATCTTCCCTGGTGAAAGCGGAGCCGGTGGGAGAGAGCACAGTCCTGTCACTCCTGCAGGAGGAGAAGAGCGTCAGAGCCCCGCCATAAACTCCAAGTATGGCTCTGAAGCTTTCTACCAGTGTTTGTGTTATTTGGTTTGAATAGCCATGAGACGCAGCTGATAAGACGGACCAGATGATGTCATATTTGGATCTAAAGATAGCCCACCGACATGAGAGGCTCCCAGGCTGAGAAATATTTGGAAAGTGGGAGATGTTGGAGATGGATGTCAGAACTTGGGATTTTAGTCACTCCTGACTGTTTATATTATTATGAAAATATTCATTTAGTATAAATATTGCAATGCTATCCATTGGACAGTCCAACACTTTGATCCAGAACAAGATAAGAGAAAATGGCCAGATAAAATGGTTTGCATGGATATTCATGGTCCTTCAGAGCATTTTTTAAAAACGTTTTCGTTACTTTGATGACCCCCTGACCCTTTACTTTAAGAGTATAAACAGTAGTGCACAATCAGTAAACAATTTATTGTGCCTGGTTCCAATTTAAATCTGAACTTGAATGAGGTTAAGCAGATATTGGTTCTGATGGTCTAAAAAAAGTCTAATGATGTAAAAGTCTGGACTATTACTCGAGGCTATTAAAGTACCAATACATTTGTTTTACAAATGCCATAAAAATTACAAAATATTCTTGTGTGTGTGTAATATCTCAGATTCGGCAGACTACTTGAGGTGACGGCACGGTTTTAACAGAGAGAGAACCGTATTGCCAATGTGACTCAGTAAGCCAAAGCATTATTCACCTAGTACAGTAATCAAACACATGGTGCAATTCCAGCAGTGCAGAACTGAATATATTAAACTCAAACAAGTGGGTGGCGAGTGATGCTTTGTGGGTAGTTTGTCTCCAGACAGTCCGGTGCTTCACTTTGCTTATAATATTTCACTGATTCAAACCCAAATACAACAAGGCTAATCAAGAGGAAAGAAAACGTTATACAAACTTAAAATGGAAAATGTCTTCTAGGGTTTGCGTACTTTTAATGTAGGGCACAAGAAAAGCAATAACGGAGAAATAATGTTCCAGCTCAGTGGAAACCTGTGGAGGACCAATTACTGGGGGAAATGGCGCATGCACTCATGGGGCCACCAGAGTTGTGTGCTGTATCCTTGGCCTACCTGAGAACCCTCTGAAGAAGCGCCCAGCAGTCTTTCACCTCGCTCTGCTTCTGCGTGACGCCGGCAGCCAGGGCGGGGTGGAGATTAGAAACCTGGGACACGCTCACATCAAGCATCTACCACACACAGGCCTGTAGGTTAGGTAGAGAAGGCTTCTGCCACACTTCCAGGATCTGATCAGGCAGTGTTTCTTAAAAAAACACAAAAAACCTTCCTACCATGATTTGACTGGCGATGTCGCGTATTTCTCTATCTCCGACGCTGTCCAGCTCTTTGGATTCAGACGTGCTCTTCCTCTGAAAAAAGAGAATGTGAGTAAAATGTCTTATATCTCAGCGGAAAAGAAAGAATGAAACCACCAGGGAATTGTACCATGTTATTAATAGCAAGCAACGTGTCATCAGCCTGCTGGTAGAACGAGGACACCTCCAGTGCCAGCTGAAGATTCTCATGGTAGTTTTTCAGATGTGACTGGACCTTCAGCCACCTACAAAGAAAAGATCAAATCAGTCTTCTCCCTAGACTGAGGATGTTTCATGCAGCATACCAGTTCAACTCAAAGTGTACATTTTATTGATGTGTTTCCTCTTGCTGGAGATGTTTTTCCCATCCGTCTTCCCCTGTTTCTCCAGTTTTAGGGCCAAGTGGTTGATCTCCTCGTGGAGGTTTCCGTATAGCTGCTCATCCTGTAGTGAAACAGGGGAACACAATCACACTATGACCTCAGCTGTCTCTACCATACACTCTGGGAGACAATTATAGACGGCCATAGATAAATGACCTCTGCATAAATGTATTATAAACTATTAACATATGGGAAGAATGTTGTTTCGCATGTTTCATGCTCACCTGCTTTAGATCTAAGATCCTCTTGGTCAGCTGCATTTTGTCAACATGTTCCCCGAGGACATTCACCAGAGACTGCTCGTCTTCCTGCTGGCCCACATAAAAGTCAGTATTTATAGCCCCCATTTGTTCGGAACCCAACCATTATTTCTTCTCAGAGGCACCAGGATCTACCACATGACCAGGGAAGATGCTGAACAGAGCGAGCCTACAGCATTAGGTGAGAACTCGATACTAATGCACGTATGGAAGGTTGAGTGGAACTAAATGGAGAATGCAGTCTCCTGTAGGGATGGATGTTTTATAGACTAACATCCACCACTACATTCCCACAGGTCCATTATCAATCACAGGTTCCCTTGTGCCAGACATGGACATGAACAGAAAGATAAACATGAAACGCAGATTGCTTCTTGATAATGACGGGCAGATGTTTTAAACCGGTGAATAATATACACAAACAAGAAGCGTCCTCAGGATGCTGAGATAATTTCCTGTATTAGCAAGTCATTTTTTTTCTGCCAATTATCTTGACAACTGTTGATCGGAGCTGTCTGTCCACCCATTTATTTTCCTCTGGGCCAACTGTTTTTTGGTAATTATTACAATCAGAGAGCGTGATGGCTTTTATGTTTAGATAAATGGGAAAATGAGGACATTTGGGGAAATCAGGTTCATAATTATCAAAAGTAAAAAAGGGTCAGGAGGGAAATGTCTGTGAAACTCAAAAGCGAGTACATGAAAGCAAAATAACTCTTATTTTAAGTACTCATGTCACCCTGTTTCACATTAGTTTTGCATTTGAGAATGGGAACATGCAAATGAAAGTATCAGTAGAGAATGATCGCGTCATACATTCAGCTATATATGAAAAATAACTGCATTAAGTGCCTAAAAACGACCAATCGTTAAGAAATGAAACACTTGTGCAAATTTGGCTCTGGTAAGGATGAGAAAAGGGGTAAAAATAACCCTCCCCATGCGATGAAATCCACTTATTACTAGCACAAATTCAGAGAAAGATGTAATTGTGTACCTTGTCTTTGATCCACGCCTCCAGCTTGTCCACTTTCTTGTTGAACTCCTGCAGGTTCTTGGCTCCACCCAGCGCCCTCGTCTGATTTGCGGCCGTCTGCTTGAGGGTCTGCCACATGTCCCTGAGCTGGCTGAGTTGTTTCTTCACCAGGTCAGAGGTGGGGTTTAGCTTGCAGATCAGCTGCTCACCCATCTTTAAGAAACAGAAAGTTGCTGTTCATTGAAGATGTAGAGCAGAGGGAGCCGCCAGACTTGACATACAACAGTGGCGGAGCACACTACACACGTAGTTTGTCGGAGTCATTGCTTATGTGACATGCGGCTTCACAGATGTTGGAAAACTGCCATATATTTCTTGGATATACCCTTGAAAAGTCTACCGGTTCTGCTTCTACCCTTCCAGAGCTGCCTGAGTGTCAGGGGAGGTTAATTATCAGCAATGTACCATTTCCAAACGTTTTCTCCTGAGGGAGAAAGAATAAACGGGCTTGTCAGAGCCGTCTGGAACACTGAGGCTCTGATTTTCTCTCCGGCCGACTGGAAATGCCTACCATAATGTTATGTGATCTTACGGACTCTTTCAACACTATAGAAAGTGATTAATGTTTGCATTCGGAACTCTATTACCTGCTAAAAGCTTTAAATAAACATTTCATTTGTGATGTGGGTTGCTGTGCTGCTGGCTCTGGTCTCTATTTCAGTTAGAGTCCGGGCGCGTGTTCAATGTTTATCTTACCTGGTTGAGTTGTATTAGGGTGTTCTCAAAGTCTTTGAGGTCTCTGTGGAGCGTCTGCGAGGCTTCCCCCCAGTCCTGCAGGGGGCAGCGCTGAATATTACATCCATCCTTCAGGTCCCGCAGCTTGCCTTTGATCCACGCCTCTGCCTACATCACAAACAGTCACACGGTCAAAGTGTTAAGATATGCTTCAAGCTTTTTTTGGGAGTAATGACTACATGGAACAGTGTTATGTAATTAGGATTATTGCCATAACTTTGTATGTACATCTACATTTGAAGGTTAATGACATCACAGCAATGTGCAAATTACTGCAAGGCAGGATGGTTAAAACACTAATGTGCCAAATGAGTTTTGTCATTGGAAGATGACAGCATGTTCACACGGCAGAACTTGTACCCTTATGTTGTTTCCTTTTTGTGCTTTACATACAATATAATGATAACATTTCAGAAAGGTATCATAACTAGTGTAATACTTTGAAACTGACGCAATTTTAAAGTAATTTGTTATTGTATAAGATAACGTTTTTAAAGTAAAACTGTTTTAACCCTCCCGACCCTGCAATCTGCACATATGTCTGTTTATAGACCTGTTTTATGATGAGAGTGAAATCTGAGAATGTCTCACCTTTAGAAAGCTGATAGAATATAAAAATGTTGGCATAGGAGGCAATCATTATTTATGTATAGAAGTCATATTTGTTGATATATTTGTATGAATCATTTCATAACTCATATGAGGCTTATCTTCAGCCTACAGGTTGTGATATATCAGCTGTGTGACAGAGCACTGTGTGTGTTTTTCACTCAGCAAAGGTCTTGTTCTGCTTATCGGAGAGGCAAACAGGCTACATTTTCTTCCCCGAATTAGAGTAATACAGAGCCTCAGACACATCAAGCACAGCTCTTTGTTCTCTAATGTCATGTTATGCAGAGCAGAAGTTTCTCTTGGCGAGGGTCTGGGCTCCATTGCATAAGACTTTGTCTTGCAGAGTTGCCTTTTCTGGCAACATTTGTATGGAGTGAGAAGAACTGCGAACCAGGTGCCCAAAGTCAGAAAGTGTTGGAAAGTACATGTTTGCTTTCTGCTACGAGCCCAGTGTGAAAGTGAGCGACCCACCCTATAATTGATTGGATTAATAAATCAACACAGACACATTTTTAGTGAGTCATACAATTGATAAAACCTGCAGAACTTTATTTTGTGTGTTGCGATTGTGTAGACTGTCAGTTAAGCACACAAGTAAGTGATTATAACTTCAGATCAAAGCATAATTTCCCAAGGAATTTAGTACGACTGACGAATAATAGACTCTACAGTAACCTCTCTTTTGGATCAATAAAACACCACAGATGACACAGCCTCTAAACGACTGTTTGCTTGAGATTAAAATCTGATGTCCCTTCCCCCTTAAGAAAGGCAGGTCGTTAACTTTACAATCCCCCCGGTGCAGCATTTCCCCCCCGAACAGAAGGAAAAGAGCTTGACAAAACAGGCCTGCCCCTATCTCCTCACACTGGCTCTATAATGACCTCATACAGGAAGTCTGAGTCCCTTGTTTTTTCCTGTCCGCTCTCCACAACAATTGTCTGTTTATCAAAAGGTACAGTAAGGCTTTAGTGCAGCCGCTGAGAATAGACGGCTAATGCATGCAGCTCAGATTGTATCACTGCCTTTTATTTATTTGTGAAAAATCTGTGTCCACACAGGAAAAAAAAAAATCACTGCAGTCAACACAGACCAGATTTTAAAATAAACTCCATGTTTGATTACAAACTGTAAACAGAAACCACCCTTCTCTTTTTTTTACGGCCACTTTTCCTTTCTGCGAGCGTCAAAGTAACCCAATGTTGGCATCTTAACGGGAGAACGAGTGCCCACCTCTTCACACTTTATAAAAGTGTTTACCAACAAGCCTACTTTGTGGGCCCTTTTGTAACTCGGCGCTGACAAGACTGTGGGAGTGGAAGTTTCTCCACTTTCTCTATCATGGAAAGGAGACGCTGAAAGGCAAGAAGTCTTGCAGAGCGGCCTCGAAGACAGATGGTTCTCAGCGAGCGAGCGAGCACCGGGCTTCTCCATGTGGTGACCTGCTTTGCTCTCCTTAGCTCGAAACATTAGGGCCCTTTAAAAGTCTCTCCCTGGAAAACTCACTTCCACTTCCAGAGCGACATAATACTGAAATAACATATTCTCATCAGCGATAGCAGTCAACCAAATCCCTGTAAAACAGCTAAGTCCCCAGATACAAAAGACTCTGGTTATTTAAAGTACGAATAAAGTTATAATACAAAAGGCTGTTTCCACCAAATCAACAGAAATGCAAGCTCCACTTAAGAGCAAAGGGGCTGCTAAGCTTGTTAACATTAACGATGTGCCACAGAGCTGTTTTCAACACATACATACATCACATGTTTCCTTCACATCCTAAATGACTTTCTTATTACTGGGAGTAAACAGCCTATCACTTGGATGGTTGATGACAAAGCCGACTGCCGGACAAAATGTCCCTCAGCCGAACTCGCAGAAAATGTCCTTGTACACTGGGGTGGACGCAGCGATGAGATAACACAGCCAGTTGTGCTGCTTGGCTGAGTCTCTCTGGGACATAGGCGTGAAGAGATGGAGCCAAACAATGATCTCACTCCTAAATAATTGCTTCACTTGTGGCAGTTTCCCCTCCCTCTCTTCGCCTCAGCCGAACACAGCGCGTACAGTTCTCGAGACAAAATAAGAACCAGTACATATTTTGTCATGCGGGTCATACGACAGCTTCCTTTGTGATTTCATCTCAACTTGTTGCTTCTGAGATAAACCCACTGCAGCTTTTTTTCATTATGTATTTGTTAGAGGAGATGAGAGATAAGTTAAGGTTTAATTTTACCGATTAAAAAAATCTCCATGTGCAATCTATGGAGAGTGGAAAAAGCACACTCTCCTAAACATTTTATAAGTTTCCAGTTATATAAGGGAACACAAAAAAGAAGGAGGAAAGTGGAGCTTTCGACAAACTGTTGATGTTGATATTGTCAACATGTGTATGCATGCCACATTTTACCTGCAGTACTTCCTTGTGGAAAAGTGAGTAGCGCTGAGTGAAGCAGTCGCTTTGGGACGTGGGAACAGCTGCGGATGCTTCATTCTGCGTGTGTGGATGACTTTCTTTCCTTTGCGTCTCTTTGTGATGCGATTCAGGCACTGATATCTATGTAAGCAAACAAGACAGACAATAAATGGTTGAAAATATGATGGCAATTTGACTGCAACATTCATTTGAATCTACCAAACAAAACCAAAATGATGCCTGACTGATAAACTCTATAAGAAACTGGTGGATCTCTCAATGAGGGGATTTTTGTCACCATACAGAGACATTACACATTTGTGTTACCTCAAGGTCCCTCTTAACATACTGTCAACACTGCAGGACTGGCACCATTTCCCTAATTGAGCGTTCCTGCCGCTCGCCCATCAGGAAACATCTGGGCACATGAAGGAAGCAGGAACAGACAGATCCTGGGATGTCGGAATTTTTTTACTGTCAGCCTCACATGTAAACATATCACCTTTAAAAGGACTTTGGTAGATCATGTTTGCTCTTTCATTCCTGAACAGGTAAAGGCACCCCCAGCTTCTCCCATGTAATTATAACCATTTTTGGGCACTTTAATGAATAATACATTAGAGGAGGAAAAGGAAAGTATTGTTGTGGTTATACAATAATAGCTGACGTAGACTGTAGTTTTTTGTCCTAAAAGGGGAAATGAGGCCATTGCTGTGTCAGTGTGTTATTATAAGCAGCCACCATGAGGGCTTCAGCAAGCCTTTTCTTTTGTTAACATCTTCCCTGACCTCATGTTTTCCAGTGAGCCCTGCCTCTGTAACAGAGCACTTCATCCACAACACACACTGATGACTTCAACAAGAAACAGGCCAAATCCAACAGCCCATTGAGTTTAAACAATATCCTACAATATACGTATTCTGTTTTTCTCCATGAGTCTGCTTCTTTAATGCATTACAGTTAAAAAGAGGATAGGCCTACATAACAGTACGATATGTGTGTGGCGTTCAAAGACACGTTGCTTTCATCGCTCAACTGGTTTTTCACCTCTTTGTAACATTGCTCCAAATATTTAATATAATAAACTCGTTTAATATAATAAACTCGTTTAATATAATAAACTCGTTTAATTTTGGCGAACACAGCACATGACTTCACTTCCTAAACACCGCTGCTGGCTATAAAGACCACACTGTCTCACAGCAAAATATAAAACAGTGTCAATACAGTTGGTAAAATAGCACCAATATTCACAACAAAACACTGAATATCAAAAAACGTAAGCCTTAATTAATATGATACTCAAAGTTTTTTTTAAATTAAACTTACATTCGTGATATAAAAAACAATGTCCTCATTTTTGTCGTCTCAAGATAGCTACCTCATTCGTCAGTTTTAATTTAGCAGGTAACAGCAGCTAGCATCTTACCTGTTGGACGTATTTTTCTCCGTTTAGTTTCGGCTGGGTTTGTCCCGTTGCTGGCTGAAGTTCCTCACTGCTGTCTTTTCTGAGTAAAACCTAAAATAATAATCATATATAGTAATAATATCAGAATAAGCAGCTGAGAATGCAGAAAAAGAGCCGTAAATGAGTCGAACAAGCTGGACAACAAGACGGAAACTGTGGCAGGCAGAAAGGCAAACTCCAAGGCAACACGATAAACTACATAGGCTACAATTTATATCTCGATCAAATATTGGTAACAACTACAATATTTAACATTTTTCTTTGAATACATATGTCATACATTGTGTCATATTGAGAGACGTCATTAGACATTATTAAACCGTTAATTATATATGTGCAGTTAGTAGGCTACCATGATGAGATTATAAATGGTCGTATATTGCTATTGATTTACTACGCTACTTGAATTATTTGTATCTATAGGTCTGCATGTTCATGTGCTCGGTTCTCTTCTCAGTAGAACTTCAAAATCAATAAAAACAGTTGAAATACAGAAATGAACACTCGCCTATAGGCCTACTGCTAAATATTTGCACTGTAGGAAATGTTGAAAATGTGTAGAATGTCTATTTTCAATGATGAGGTTAATTTCTTCTGTAGTTTATTTGTTTTATGATATGGCCATTTAAAGTATAAATCTATCACATAAACTAAACCAACCAAAACTGCAGTTTACAAATAAAAATATAAACTCCTACATAGGCCTATCCTCTTTATTAGCTTTTAATCAAACAGCAATATTAGAAGAAATCCCACCTCTGTGGGATTTATTATTTCCTTGAGTGTTAAATTGGCATATTTGAATAAGTAAAGTGTGTCTTGTACCTTGAAGTGAGAACCAGGTTTATTCTCACAGCTCACACCCACAATCCGGGGCAGATGTGTATCTGAGGTGCTGGTGACATTGTTGTTGTTATTGTTGTTTTCGGATGTGGACCCTGTGATTGAAAGCTGTATTGGTCCCACTGAAACATTGTTCTCCGATCTTTCTCTACTTCCAGAGATCGTTATCTTCTTGATGGACCGGGAGACGGCGGAGGAAGAGGCAACGTTCTGGTTCAGATGGTCCTCAGCTGCCATATCCTCCTGGTTGTGCTTCACAGGGGCTACCTGCTTGACCATGGGTGAGACGAGACAGGGGCCGCGTGTGCAGACCTGGGATCGACTGAGGTAGAGTGAGTTCAGGTTGTGCTGTAGAGTGCAGTTATCCAAACTCTGGCTCTGCAGATAACTTTGTGTACACTCCTGGCATTTTGGCACAGCCGGGACTGACAGCCTCGTCCCAATCGTGAAGGGCTGAACCTTCCTTACTATGCTTTCAGACATTGCCAGTGTCCAGATAAGAAAACAAAAAATGCTGAAGTCCAAATGTACATTGAAAAAAGTCTGTCACATCCCTTTGTACACCACTACTCACTCACCAGCGCTGTTTGTCCAGTCTGTTCAGCAGGCAAGTGGTGAGTTGAACAGAAAGTGAAGGGAGAGCTCAGGTCTCCACCTTCTTGTGCATGTTGAGAAGGCACAACACACAGCCCAGGACGGCTTCCTTGGACTCCTGGGATCGAATACGGTCCCAGACGTGGCGCAGCGCCGTGCCAATGTGTGCAGCGCCTGTAGAGAGGGTTCTCCTGAGGAACTGTGCCACTGAGCCTGCCAGTCTGCTACTGAGGAGCCTGATAACCAGGGACCGCAGCAAGATGAAAACTGCTGGCATGCTGCCTGACAGGGCTGTGCAGAGGAAAAAAATGAAAAAAAGGAGGGGGAAAGAGGAGGGTTGGTTAAGAGTGGGGATGAAGTCACCACCTCTACACACACTCTCCCTCTTTCTCTTTCTCTCTTCTCTTTCTCTCTGTCAGGAGCGACAGAGCTGTGAGGGGGCTGTAAAGTCTGGCTGTCAAAACTTCCCCTCTGAACCCAAACAGAAATTCTGTCCAGATAAGAGGCGAGTAATGGAGTCAGAGGGAGAGACCTCTGTCAGACCTCTTCAATCACAGCTTATCCTCTATGAGGTAATATCCTAAAACTCACACACACCCACAGTGCCTCACCCTTACCTGCACCTTGAAGTGCAGAAGAACAGAATTAGCCCTGAGGTGTTTTGCTCTGAAAGTCTTTCAAAGGCAGCAGGCCTTTTTCTTTAAATCCAGGGTGAAATCTGAGGAGAGAGTAAGCTTCAGAGGCTCTTGTGATCGCTGTCTGTCCAGGAGTGAGAGTGCTTTCCCAAGCTCAGAGCCTTTCCCCATCAGCCAGGAGCAGTTGTCACACAGGTTCCAGCTGAATGGAACAGCCCCTTAAACCTCAGAGCTGCTGGCATGACAAGTGTAGGGGGGGGGGGGGGAATCATAGTCAAGCAGATGATGACCCCTACCACTCCTTGATGGTGGCTGGGGTTCAACAGAGCACATGTTGGGCTGACTGATTGGAATGCTCGGGGTGGCGTGCGTATGTCAGGGGAGCAGGGATTATTGAAGAGAGCAGACGGCAGAGAAAATATTTGGGAGTACAGCGGAGAATCTGCTTCCACTGTTGAAAGCTTTACCCAAAAATGGAAACTCTCACTCTTCACTCAGCTGCCCTCAGTCGTGACCCCAGGCCACACCTGGTCAACTCGCTTGAAGTAGCTGCTCAGCCACTAACAACGAAACCCAGTCACTATGATATTGAGGTAATGCCTTGTTTTACAACACAGTGTAACATCCTGGGCATTTAGAAATGGAAACATTAAAGAAATATATTAATTGATGTGCTCTAAAGTTACCAGTGTTCCAGCAGGACCAAAGCAGCCAGCAGTGGGACAGCAGTCACTCAGCAGGGCTCCGTATGACAGAGTTAGCCCTCGGAGTCGACACGGTTAATTATGCTTTTAAAAGAGCTCTGGTTTCATGATGAAGTCATCTTAAGGAAGAGTTTTAATGTGTTGCAGCTTGAAATCAGAGATACATTCTGCACAGGCTGGGTGGTGTTCACAGAAGGCTGGATGGGTGGAGTTCAAGGGGTTTGGCTGACTTTAAAATGCCATTTCCTCATATTGCTGGGTGAGAGGCTCTAAAAGTGTGCGATTTATGTGCGCTGCGGGCACACTGTGACTATGACACCACCACATGCCGAAATGTTGGTCGCATTCAACTGGAACATTTGGGTTATTTTTAATTTAGGATCATTAGTCAGAAAGAAATATATGGGCAGATCTTTTTGAAAATGTTAAAGCAAACCAGTCCACGGAGAGATGTTACTAAAAATTACTGCCATCCAGAGCTTAGCCTAGAAACCAATTTAAAGCAAGAAATAAAAAATACATGAACGATTTTACCCAGTTTTCCAATACATTTTCCAACCCTGACTGTGTAACCTTGACCAATGTCAGGTTAACACAAATAACTTAAACAGCTAGCCTGCCTACAAGATACATGGATGTGGTGATATAAATGTGTTTATGAGTTAGCTTTTGAGGATTTGGTAGACAAAGTTTTGTTGTGGACAGAGCTGTAAAACTGTTTCCAAACGTTGTTGCATGCTAAGCTAACAGGCTACTGTCTATATTTTAATATTTACTTAAAAGACCTTACAGTAAACAATATGATAGAACATTTTGAAATACATTTCCCAAAATATCCAACTTTCAGATGTCCTTTAAAAAGATAATACAAAGGTGGGTGTGTTATATAGCAATGTTAGATTTGCTCAAAGTTCACAAACACTATTTTGTTCACTTCATTTAAGGTCTGAGTGAAAATTGAAGGAAAACTTATGCTTGTTTTCTCACTTTGTGTAAAGCCACTGTTTTCCACCTTCTGCAAACATTTTTAAAGGATGGAGAGTTGTTCACAAATTCACTGTACTGATAAGATTTGAACCAGCTGTCCCACCTCTACCCACCAAGTCCGATAGCGCTACTGTAACACCTTCCTTATGGTGTTTACCCAGGAAGTCCCCCCTCCTCCCAACAGCTCTCAACCACGTGCGTAACAGTGCTGCCCACATCCGTTCCAAATAATCCAGCCTGCATCTGAAAGATCTTTATTTGTGTCATCTTCCTTCATGTGCATCTTTGAAGATGACTGTTAAAGACAAGCTGGTTCTGGCCTGATGGCTGATATCATTGCCTCCCAAGTTGATAATACAATCCTGATGTTTTCTCGCCACAGGCCTCTGTTTGTGATCAAACTTATTAGAAATCTTCCATTTCATTAGTCAGTAAATACGACTTGGAAGACTTGTTTTTAAGGGGTGATGTCACTGATGCAGGCCGCATGAAAGGAGAGTGATAGCTGCAGCGGAGGAGAGAGTTTGCATGGGTGCTAGAGGGGGTCTGTACTTTTCCACTTGGTGTATGTCATCACAAAGGCATGATCGGCCTCCTGGTCAAGTTTCAGTACAGATAAGATTTAGTTTTTGCTCTGGATCATGATCAAAAATGAAACATTTGTGGTTGATATGAAAGGAATGGAAAAATAAAAATTCTTACATGTGTTATGTCAGCCGTGTTTTGCCAGAGCTTTTGACAATATCCAGAGAAATCTAACCCTAGAAAACTCTTCAGCTTAATATTACACAAAAAAACCTCCTCTAAAAAATTAATTTCAACTAAGAGTCGAATCCAATTAGAATAAACGTTCTGTTTATTACTTTTATAGTTTTAGCTATAATGTTGGATGCCAGGCATCTATTACCACCAAATAATAATTTGTCCCATGGCACAAAAGCCTATTTTTAAGCTTCTACAGGCAGGACAGACAAAGCATAAACAGACTATCTTTATACATAAAGTCTTTGGCCAAGTTTTAAATCAACATGAGCATATTTACACCAGTCCAGCTCCTTTTTACTCTGTTTAAATAGATTAAACCTAGACTCGAGAAAAAGCTGTGAATGACAATAAAATGCAAACATCAAGGCAGTGACGGCATGGTGCCAAGGAAGTTGTGAAGTCATACATTTATATTAACACTTATCTGTTGATCTAAATAGCTTTAAATTCCTTTGCTATTAGCTAACAAGTCTAAACCCACATCTTGACAATGACCTAGCCTCCCTCAGATGGCCCGCCTGTGGGCTTTTGTACTGCAGCCACTGGAGCTAATACAGCGCATTAACAATGAAATGATTTTTGCTTGAACAGAACAACAAGACAGCTGCAGTTTATGGACAACGAGAAAAATAAACACATTACGTAATCCACATTTTCTTCAGCATTTATTATAACATGATGTCCACATTGGTTTTGTGAAGTTTTATCCATAAGTCATCTATTCAGCCGTGGGTTTAGATCTCAATATTGTTTATACCAGAGGAGGAGGAAGTCATAGTCATTGAACTGAGTACAATTAGTAATACTGCACTGTAGAACTGCTTTAATATAAGCAGCACAATATTCTACCTTCATTATAGTACAAAAGTATTAACATCAAAATATACTTTAAGCACCAAAAGTATGCATTATGCAAAATGATATCAATTATATTAGAATTACTCATAAATGAATGTGTTCACTTTAATGTTGCACTGTTATCTTAAAAAAAAAGATTTAAAAAAAAAAAATAATAACAAAAAATACAATTTATTATTATTATTATCTTTAATCTTTTTTTTATGTATACAGTATTTCGCACTATGAGTCAAAACCTGCAACAATAGTCTCTAAATCAATACAAAAATAATAATGTATTGAAATTATTAATAGGTTAAGTAAGCCAAGCCTCATAAATAAGTTAATGTTCTGTCAATGAATGCAAACGTATGTATTTGTAAAGACAAGATGTCTAATTAAGGTAGTGGAGTAAAACTAGATTTCCTCATAGATGTAGTGGAAGTGTTAAACAACACTAATACACAACACAACACTCCACTTAAGTACGAGGGCCTCAAAATTGTACTTAATTACAGTATTTGAGTAAATGTAGTTATTCACTTTCAACCACTGGTTTGTACTTTAAAAACATAAAAGCTGCAGCTTTGAAACCTGTCAAATAAAAAGTACCAAACCCTTTTATTACTGGTTTAATACCTAATACTTATATAATAGTGGCGCCTAGTTTGACACTCACCTAATGAGACTGCATGCTTATCAGCTGACGTTCACACACACACACACACACACACACACACACACACACACACACACACACACACACACACACACACACACAACACACACACACACACACACACACACACACACACACACACACACACACACACACACACACACACACACACACACACACACACACACACACACACACACACACCACACACACACACACACACACCTGTGGCGCTTCATCCTGGGAGTCCTGCTTCACACGTTTCTCCTCAACATGTCTACTCTTATCATAACCTTAAAGAGCCATGACATCATGTGCAATAAAATGCCATGTTAGTCATTCAGTGCTCATGGTTTAGAGAGACAGTGTGCCAAGTTTGTCACAAAGCAGGAAGAGGCATGCAGAGACAACGAATCTCAACCGTCTTCCATGACGCATATATTTTTTTAAAACTGTACCATGTTGTTTCAAAAACAATACAAAGGTAACTGCTGCACTGACATCATCAATAATACTGTGATATCTGGCCTTCTTTGCAGCATTCCTCCATGCAAACATGCAA